GGGTTCAAACCATTTACTGCATAGGAACATTAGTTAACTTTTTGTTCGCACTATATCCTTTCTCTTTTCAAATACTTTCCCCAAACGTTTTTACCTCCAAATAGTCCTTGGAATTGGAGCTGACTGGTCGCACGTTGAACTCAATATCTTTCAGAAATGAATTCTTTAAATCTGGCGCAAGATCGCCCTCGTCGTCTGTTTCTAAGTAAACATTTCCCTTCACAGACTGACCATCAGTATCAACGTTTTCTATAACCTCCATAGGATTCACTGGCTGTATTTTTACAGTGTATGGGCTCTGTACAACTATGAAAGGGATATCTTTCGAAGCGCCATCCATCTTCCACGCGAATACATCTTGAGTTTTGCGGCGAATTTGCACACGATTCCAACAATTTGACCCTCTGGTAACATTTCTAAGCAGCTTTTCGGCCCGGAACATCTCGAAAGCCTTAAATGCTGCTCCAAATAAAATTATGCAACCCTCTACCTTCGTCGAGAAAATTTGATTGTACCCGCCATATTGTTTTTTTTGAGCCAGATCGTTCAAGCGGTACTTCAGTTCAGCGCACACGCAGTAATTTAGTTTCCAGGATCTACTCGAATAGGTTTATTTTCAAAATGGCGACTACGTTTGATCAAGAGCTACGAAAGGTAGATGCATCTATATTCTCATTCTTTACTCATAACCTTATTAGAAATAGTTTAGGCAAGGACGTGGAGTCAAAGATTTGAAAAATTCTTAAAATCTCCTTTTAGGATGGGGGCAAGTGTTATATTTCCTCCAACCTCCCTGCTTCTCTTGTCACAAGAGAAAACTTCATAGGATAAATCATTCCCTTTAAACGGTATTTCAATTGATTTGCAGGCGTTTCAAGAACTCCAAGAAAAAATGATCGAGACCACGCAACGTGTTAAGGTGGCAGAAGGTCAAATTTTGCAACTTCGAAGGAAGATTGCTCATGCCAAATTGACAGACCAAGAACTAGCGTCATTGCCTTCTGATATACCGACTTACCAAGCAGTAGGAAGAATGTAAGTATTATCTTGGGAAAGAGTTCCATCTAACCCCATACATTAAAGATGCATTCCATTTCATAACGACTAAATATAAAGGTTTCTTTGCAACACTCTATGCATAATTAATGTATGGGGTTATATGGAACTCTTGCCTTATCTTGACTCAACGTTTGTGAATTTATGAAAATCATATATGTGAACTGTGGTTAGAGAAATGAATATGAGAGCGATCTTTGCATTAACAAACACTATGTAAGCAGTAGGCCTTATTTTCACTACTGCTTAAGTAGTGATTATCACTCGAAGATCACTCTCATATTCATTATCTTGATTGTTCATAATGTCCATCAGCAGCATAATTAAAAAAAAACAGACAAACTGTTCCAATGAGGCCTTAAATTGCTGTCGAAAAGTAAAATTTAAAATCCAAGCTTTCGCTGATCAATGGCATCATCAGGGAAAAGAAAATGTTCTGGGCATGCAATATATATATATATATATATATATTTAACTGCAGACAGTACTGTTTCGGCCTTCTGGGCCTCATCAGTGCAGTGCTAATGCTAGGATGGGGGAGAACCGAGACGGTCACCCCAAACGACCCAACCTTTGTGGTATCGTCTAAGCCATGCCAGAGTGCTCAAACTAGAGTAAACCAGCGAGCATGCGCAATTGCAACGGCAATGACTCATCCTAGATAGAGTGCTCAATTTGGACATGAAAGCAAAGCTTTGTATGCCAAAGAGCTATATCTAACTGCAGACAGTACTGTTTCGGCCTTCTGGGCCTCATCAGTGCAGTGCTAATGCTAGGATGGGGGAGAACCGAGACGGTCACCCCAAACGACCCAACCTTTGTGGTATCGTCTAAGCCATGCCAGAGTGCTCAAACTAGAGTACACTAGCGAGCATGCGCAATTGCAGAGCAATGACTCATCCTAGTTAGAGTGCTCAATTTGGACATGAAAGCAAAGCTTTGTATGCCAAAGAGCTATATCTAACTGCAGACAGTACTGTTTCGGCCTTCTGGGCCTCATCAGTGCAGTGCTAATGCTAGGATGGGGGAGAACCGATATTTATATAGGCAAAGAAAGTGTATGGTGATGTGTAAAAGATGTGCCCATGTATGAAAGCTATAGAAATAAACTGTGAATGGAACATAAGGCTCTAATATTAATGATGGACCATCTGTAGACAAAGCCCTTTAAGAGTGCTAAAGAGTGGCGTAGAAAATAAAATACTAAAATAGAAGGTCTGCAAATTCACTGGATTCTTCCCAGGAATTGAGTGTAGGCTTGTACTTTCTAATGTCTTTTTTCTGGCAGGAATAGATATGTTTTTTCATGGATGAGTTTTCATTGTTGAGATGTTCTTTTATGCGGTCATGAATGAATTGTGTCATACTACCAATATATTGTTGATTGCAGCTGTTACACATGAGCTGGTATACTGCATTTTGTTGTAAACATAATCTGGTGTTAGAGATAGGGCATTTGTCTCTGGTACATTTGTGCACTTTGAAGTGTGGGATAGGGCTTGTCTGAGCATTTAGGATTTGTGGGAAATGCATGCTGGGATGTTTTCTTTTCTAAAGATGTTAGTGATCTTGTGATTGAGTCATTCAGAAATGTACGGGATCTTGAGGCATGACTATTTCTGTGTTGGCAGGTTGAGGGTTTCTTTGGTGGTGTTGTGGGTGTTTTGATTACTCTATACTGTTCTCTGGATAACTGTTAAGGTGAAGGATGTTGTTGAGTGTGTTTAGGTGTTGTGTTGCAGAAATGTGCGGGGAGCATCTGTCCTCAATGCGTTTTCATCTGTTGGGAATAAAGTTGAGTTTGGATTTGGTAGGAATAGCTGATTGATGGTGGATGAATAGTGGTTTCTTGGCAACAGGGTCAGGTTGTTCTGAGGTGGGTGAAGATAACTCAGGATTAATGTGAAATTTGATTTCAGATCTGAAAGCGTAAAAAGAAAATTCAGTTTAATTCCATTTGTCTACAATTGTTATTCTTAAATGCTCTAACAAGAAATGGGAAAATTATCTCTAAATGGCTTTTGAACAGAGAAATATAGAAATCTGGATTCAAATTTAACCCTGGGTTAGTGCTAAGGGACCTTTGAACAATTAGGCTCAGCTCTTTTGAATTCTACAAAAAAACCAGCCAAGAAACCACTATTTCTATTTCTATTTCTCTCCATGTTAGCAAACTTTCACACTTGAACAACATTTTGATCACTGTAACACATGTTTTTGGAATACAATGACAAATTAGTAGTTATTCTCCAAATTCTATGTTTAGGTTCTTGTGGGCTTTTTAACATCTCCTTGTGTTATTAACCCTTAAACTCTGAATTGTGACTAGCATCTAATTTCTCTATACATTAATACTGCTGAATCAAACATAAAAGTTATGAGAATACAGGTAATAATCACCTGTCTCAGAAGCTCTTGATTGTTTAACAAATTCTCCTTGTCAACACCATAGGAAATGTATAGAGAACAGTATGGAGAATGTGTATATTGATGTTAGCAGATAAAGGGAGATATTTGGCCTTTGTTTTGTCACCCATATCAGAGTGAGTTTGAATACCACATTACTTGCAGATGTCACTGTGAATATCTTTTCCCCCTTGTGGTGTAATGGGTTTCCAAAACTAATTTACTAATTTACTCTCGACAGGTTTGTCCTCCAGCCTGTATCAGATATCAGAAAGGATCTTTCTCAAAAACTCCAAAGTAATGAAGAAAAGATAAAAAGCATTGAGGTATGGCACATCCTTACTTACATAAATTTCATTGTGTTTTATATGTGAGCTCCTTGCACCTGCAGGAGTGATCAACAAGGATTTTCTCCTTACAATATCCATACATTTTCTGAGTAGGAAGATAACAAGAAGAAAGAAAAAAAATATCAAAGAGGGGATATTGCTTGATTTAATATCAGATTCTTAGAATCAGAATCTAAAGCAACATAGGAGAAAGGTGCAGAGAATTACTATGTAGATCTAGGGAGTTAACCATTTCACTACCATAAGTGACCTAGATAGAATTATTCTTACTATATAAATACAATGTCAAGCAGACAAGTGATGAGGATACAGAAAAATATCAATCAGGGGATTATTAGTTGATCCAATACCAAGTCCTTCAAACTGATATCATAAGAATTGTATGGCCAACAGTGAGGAGAATTACTAACAAGATCTCAGGAATGAAAGGGTTAAAGGGCTAAGTTGGATATGTTTGGTACATAAAGATATAACTGCCGCCCAGTTAGCTCAATGGATAGTGCGCTGGACTGTCGTGTGGGAGGTCGAGGGTTCGAGCCCCGGCCGGACCAACACTCAAGGTCTTAAAATAATTGAGAAGAATTTGCTACCTTTCTATAACATCAAGAAATGGTTAGATATTCTAGTCTTCTCGGATAGGGACGAATAAATGGAGGTCCCGTCTCCTGCAGGGTTGGGG